TTGAAGTGTAACACCAGGAAAAAAATGATAATCCAAAGTCCGCATCTTGAGACTGTCGTCGTACCATGAAGGGTCTTCAAAACCTATCAAGTTAAGCCAAAAGGAATAAAGAATGGCACATCAGAGGAAGACACCGCATCAATAGAAGATACAAGAGAAGTATCAAGAGAAGATGGGTTGTCAAAAGAAGATGGCACATCAAGAGAATGAAGCATTGCGCAGAAAATCATAGCCCACAACAACTGACGGCGAAAGAAGCTCTGCGGCTAAGGACAATGGGCATAGATCGACAATGCAAAAGAAGTCCATGAAATCCTATAGAAAACAACAAGGGCAAGTAGGCCACAAAAGTTGTATAGAAAGGACCAGGACCAGAAAAGGTTGACGGACAAAGGTATTGTGGACTCACATGGCATGAGAAACACAAAATATCAACGGATTTGATGGACAGAAAACAAAGAAAACTAGAAAGCACATACTAGACCAGATGCAATGGCAGCGGAAGAGCACACAACAACGAAAGACGATGCATGTGCGAGACGGGACCAATATAGGAAACACCGTCAAGAGCCAGCGGGCGGCGAGGGCGATGCATACCCAGCGAGAACAGCGGCAGGTGGCAGCTAGCGCGGCTAGCAGAAGCTCCTGGTGAACGAAAGCAGAGCACAGCCAGGCAAGAAGAGGAACCGACGATGCAACGGGGGCAGAATTCGGCGGCCGGCTGCAGAGATCGGATCCAGAGGCAGCCGGCTCAATCCTGTGTTCGATCCAGAGGCTGGCTGGCGGCGGGATTCATCGGAGATCGGCAGCTAGCGGCTCGATCCTGTGTTCAATCCAGAAGCAGACGGCTCGATCAGGAGTGGCAGGCGGCACACCACGGGGCGGATGGGACGAGGGAAGCAGCAGCAGCCGTGAGAAATCCGGAGGCTACGGGAGAGAGAAAAGAAAACAATGGGACCAAAAAGTTTGGTTGCGACGCGATAGTGGATCAATAGCACGAGTTGCGCGTGCTAAAAAAACCTAAGCTCTAATACCATGTTATGAAAGCAACTTATCTCTATTGCATAGCCCATGGGGTACAAGGAAAGGAAACATAGTCTAATAAGGACTCCTAGACCTATACTAATACTTCCTAACAGGGAGATGCGGGGAAGAATGCAAGGTAGTGTTATCTTTTACAGTAGGCATAGTTGGTTCATATGCGAGCCTTACTTATGCGCTCTCATTCCTTATCTCTAATAGACGCAAGTTGCAGCGTGTCTCTATAGAATGCTTAGCGCTTGAAGCCGCTGAAACCACATACATACCCATTCCTTGAGAATGATGCATATGTAGTGCAAATCTGATGTAAGTCTTGCAAGTGCAGTTGAGTACTCACCTTGTTAATTATACTTTTTCCCATGGATTATTGCAATCCAGACGGTAGCATTTCAGGAAGCACGTGTGTTGATGGACAATGTCAGGTGGTTATCCCACAGATAATGGTCTTGGCAGGGATATGGGCACCCTTTGCTTTTCTTTAAAGCCTTCTTAAGGCATTTGTATTATTTACATGTCTAAGGTATATTTGCTTCCGTTGTATGAGTTGTATTTTGGTCGAAAGGCCCTTGTTGTATTCATTCGTTAAATTTGACTCTCCGGAGTGTTGTATTTATCTATGTTGTTGTTGCAGATTCTTTCGTGACTTGTGTTGTGATACCGACCGTTCCACCCAGATGGCATGCACGTTCCACATGTACATCGTGTGAAGGTGGCGCCTTAGGATCGATATTACGTAGAGGCTAGCCGAGGTTGCTAGATCTGCATAGTGCCGGTCCGGGGTGATACATGGCCTACCCTCAAGCTTGAAATCCCCTTGATTAATAGCCCTATGTGAAGCTCCTATGCTGATCTGATTTACCATCAAAATTAGGGCCTAATTCATCTAGCAATCAATCTTGGCCCCTCTTTAATTTTGTTTCGCTCGTGTACCCTTGCACTCCACCACCCAGAACTCATATATGACAAATTACACTTCTGTGAGACTGCACCGCATTATGCATCAGATATATTATCTAGAACAAAGCATGACTTTTGGCAGTCAGACTATGGCTCGTAAATTAGGACAGAAGGAATAAGGAATGTGCTCGTCCTGGAGGAAATAACAACAACATGGGGGCACAACAATAGCTTCAAGCATAATTCACATAGCAAAGACTGGGAGGTAATAACTTACCATCCTGCTCTGCCTGGGATGATGATTCATTGTTCTTGGGAAAAAGTTGATCAGCGGAATGATCTGTTTGCATGAACTCAGTAACTGTTACGGGGACCTGAAACTGAGTATCAACACCATGACCAGCAGCTCCCATCTCTGAACCACCAGGCCTAGCAACAAATCTCGGTGTGAGCTTAAACGCCAAAGAACAACGCCCGAACATACATCCCTGCAAGTTTCCAACCTCTGTCTTGTGCACAGCTGGATTTACATAGCCAGAGGTTTCCTGATAAAGCGCAAGGCCAGGATATACAACAATATCATGTGGACCAAGGTCCCCATCAACAAGAATCCAGCGTCCATGCAAGTCCTTGATATATAAGCCTGACCTATCAGACTTAACTAGTGTAAGCAAAGTCTTGTCGATCTGTTGCTCCTGCTCAGAAAACATGAGCAATTGACTGTCATCAGGAGAAGCAATGCCATGCTGCTGTGCTTCTTCAAATGATGGCCTCGAATGGCAACATGCTGAAAGAACAGAGGACGACACTTCCTGGCTTCTCAATGGCATGTTGTCGAGTATCTCAGTAAACACACAACTACGGAGATTCAGTGAGAAGCTAACCGCATCCAAGATATCTCGGCAAACTTTCCCAAGCATTGAAAATATGTCGGGCAGCCCAGACGGGGACAATTCCATTGCGCCACCATGCTCTCTGACAGTAACACCAGGCCTATAATCATACATTTCCAGCCACATTTGAGGATCTGCATAGTAACCAGATGTCTTCCACTCGCGGGCGTCATCTGAATGGACAACGTCGCCCACCGAATCATACACTCGCTGGTGGAAGAAGAGGCGAGCGGAGTCCAGACCAGACCTTAAGAGGGCAGCATCGGCCGGGGGCAGCTGGATGATGACTGCCGAGTACTGAGCCAGCGACTGCATCAGTGTCGATACGCATATCTTGTAGCTGTCAGAAGCGAGGCCCTCGACGGCCGCGAGATCGCCGAGGCGCACGCGGCCGAGAGACGGGAGAATGTCCCCTCCCGCGTCATCCATTGATGGAGATGGTTCTTGAATCTTGATTTCCAGGGGAAGTCTCAGCGCGGGCATGGAGGTTCAACTGAATCCCCCTAAAAGATTCTTGGAATATAAACTGCGGCGACTCTTGTGGGGTCAACTGAAATCGGTCTTGCGCGCTGAAGAACACTAGCGTAATCGGTGGAGAGCTCGATTAGATTTGGATTTGATTGCTGCAAGCAAAATAAAAACAGAACTCATACCCAAGAACAAAGAATGTCATTACAGCAATCCATCGGATCAAAGATAGGGCTCCTCACCATCATCACCAGTAAAAGAAAAAACATATCCAAGTCGGGACGATTCGCTTCTTCGCTCCGGCGGATCCTCTAACATTAACATTTGAGAAGTGAAGTTAGAGAAACTACACAACCCTAACTTTCCTTATCTCTATCCATATGATTAAGGCTAAAATGATTTAAATTAATTTGCAAACTGATGATTTTTCTTAACACAGTACTGATGCAAGCGCTCATATACATGCGCATACACTCACCCTATAAACAAACACACGCACGTCCTACCCCTATGGCTATCATGGAAAGACTGAGCCAGCATATCATCTTGAAATTTACGAAGTCATCGTTGGCAATAAGCCATGTCCATGCGCTGGCGACCAGCGTCGGGTGCGCCGGGTGCGGTGTGTGCGAGTGTGTCGCGATGATATGTGTGCACCTGAGTTCATCGGGTAGAGCTGTGGCTGTGGCCGTTGAGATTTGTTGGAAGTCCAAGCCACAGCACGCGCGTGTGAGCGCGTCGTGCGAGCCAGCCAGGGCGTGCTGATCAGGCACGCAAGCGAGAGTGGAGGCGTAGCATTCCATGCATGTGGCTTAGTGGTTAGTGCATGCATCAGGTGGATATGGACGTGCATGCATAGGAAGAGGTCAAGACAGTTCGTGTTGTTAGTGGCCGAGAGCAGCGGCCGGTTATGTGTGCGTGCGTGGAGTTAGTGGCTCCTGGTGGTGTGCGTGTGTGAGCCTATATAAGGCACTGTCAACATCATGTTAGGGGCAGACTGAGTGTAAGCTATGTAGCACTGTAAAGAAGAAAAAATTGAGGCGTTCGAGCGCCCGTGGTGGCATTCGTCGCCGGCCAGAGAATTTTGTATCCACTGTTCTTCTGCTTTCACCTCCGTTCGAGTGAGAGGAGAAGTAGCTAGAGGGTTTCGGTTCCAACAATTTGGTATCATGAGCTGGTTCATCTGGGATGTCGTCCCCTTGTCAGAGGCGTGCCGGCGGTGGCGGCGTTCGCCGTCGGCTGCGCGGTGAAGCTCCGGGCCGTGTGTCAGCTTGTGGAGGTGCGCGGAGATGCGGCTGCCATGGCGGACGCGGAGGCGGCACGCGGTGAGTCCATGGCGTCTAGTGCAGTCGGGCTCGTCGGGCGCGTCGGATGCGCGCGGGACATGCGGGACGCACTGATGCAGTCGGGCTTGTTGGACGCATTGGGTGCGCGCCGAACGTGCTGGGCGCAGAGGGACGCCAGGCGTGTGTCGCCGGTGGAGAAGGAGCTCGGCGTGTGTCGCTGAAGTCATGACGGAGCACGGTGCGACCGGCATCGGTGCGCCAGGTCGGGTACACGGGCTGGGTCACGGCCGTAACGACGACAATGACGCGAGCTGCATCAACTTCGGCAACGGCGGGCACACGACACATCCAAGCGAGCGCGGAGGTGCGCTATATCATCGGGCGAACGAGATGACGACGACGAGTCAGGGCTCTTGTCGGCAGGCTGCGCGGCGATGTCATGGCTTAGAGGATGAGTGTTGGCAATAAGCCATGTCCATGCGCTGGTGACCGGCGTCGGGTGCGTCGGGTGTGTGTGTGCGCGCGTGTGTCGCAATGGTATGTGTGCACCTGAGTTCACCGGGTAGAGCTGTGGCCGTTGCGGTCTGTTGGAAGTCCAAGCCACAGCACGCGCGTGTGAGCGCGTCGTGCGAGCCGGTTAGGGCATGCTGATCGGGCGCGCAAGCGAGAGTGGAGGCGTAGCATTCCATGCATGTGGCTTAGTGGTTAGTGCATGCATCAGCTGGATATGGACATGCATGCATAGGAAGAGGTCTAAGACAGTTCATGCTGTTAGTGGCCGAGAGCAGCGGCAGGTTATGTGTGTGTGCGTGGAGTTAGTGGCTCCTAGTGGTGTGCGTGTGTGAGCCTATATAAGGCACTGTAAACATCATGTTAGGGGCAGACCAAGTGTAAGCCATGTAGCACTGTAAAGAAAAAAAGATTGAGACGTTTGAGCGCCCGTGGTGGCGTTCGTCGCTGGCCAGAGAATCTTGTGTCCATTGTTCTTCTTTTTTCACCTCCATTCGAGTGAGAGGAGAGGTAGTTAGAGGGTTTTGATTCCAACAACCGTAGCCACCTCATCATCGACGAAAACGTCTCCTTTCACTGAATGTGCATCGCCGAAAATCCTGAAATAAATCCAGGAATAAATGCGAGCACCAGGATTTGAACCCTGTTGGGCTGGGATACCACAGTCCCTCTAACCATCCAACCACAGGTTGGTTCACACAAATTGATGATCTACTTGGTACATTTATAGTATACATAGAAATAAGATGATAGTGAAATGAAATTAATTTTAAATTGTTTATGTCTACAACAAATACCAACCGTAAACAACATGCTAACAACCTACTAACAGTCCCTAACTTTTCTTCTATGTTTTACACTAGACTAGCACTGTAGCATCGTGACTTTTCCTTCTCTATGTTAGAGGGTCCGCTTCCCTTCACTCCACACCTGCGTGAAGGCTCGGGTGCAGAAGAGGGTCTAGCATGTTGCCTCGTCTTCCGTTGCCGGCGGAGAGATTGTCGGGTGACGAAGCGCACAAAATTGTGAGGAAGGACCGAGACCGGGAAGTGAATAATAACCAGCTAATTTTACGTATTTTGATGGTTCAACACTAATTATATCTCCGTCTAAAAAACACTAATTATATCTGATTCATGCCTTACACCTACAATATTATATATTTTGATAAGATTTAATTTAATTTGAGTATGGGTAGAGAATACAAGGAAAGTTTTGGCTTAAGCAAGGTTTTGATAAGATTTGATTTGAATATTTGTAGGGGAGAAAAGGAAAATTTTCAATTTAGTTATGATTTTGGTGAGATTTTTTAATTTAATTGAGTTAATGCAAGACGTGATTTTGGGAACATATCGATTTGGTTTAGATTATTCTAAATTACTCTATTTACATTGGTTTAACTTTAGAGAAAAGTATGTTTTGATCCCTTATATTCACCCAAATTATACATTTGATCCCTAAAAAAATTTGGGAGACATTTCGTCCCTCATGTCTCAAAACCGGACACAATTAGTCCAAAACCAGAAACGGAATGGTATTGGGCTGACGTCTCCCGGTTTTGCCTCGAACATCCCATGTTGACTGCCACCTATTGCCGGGCCCCCTACTTTCGAAGCCAAAGAGGAAAAAATCCATCCCCTCGCTGCAAAATTTCGTGTTTTGACCATTTTTGCAAACAAATTCAGGATCTGACCCTCATTCGAAAAAAAATTGTGATCTGACCCTTTTCCTACCGCATTATCCTTGGCGGTAGTGTAACACTGCCTACCGCCGCAGGCTATGACGGTAGGACTTGATTGCGCCGTCACGGCCGTTTGACGTTGAAACTACCATATCGTCATAGTCTTTGGCGGTAGGGTCTAGAATATATAAATAACGTAGGGCGTCTAAGAATACCGTATGAACTCTGTTGGCAGGTTGGCTAGCGCGTACAGATTTTTGGCTGCAGGTCTCAGGTTCGAGCCTACCTATGGCTAGTTTTTTTGTTCATTTTTATTTTGCCCAATAAAAAATAAATAATTTGTCCAATTAATATTAGGATATAAATCATTTATAAAAAAATATTTTTTTTATTTATCTATAACTGTTTTAAAAAATTCGCTCAAAGATATATATATATATATATGTATACGAATATGATCAATTGGTCTCACATATTACCTGCATAAAAAAGATTTGAAAGGCTATTCACCGAGATCAATTGGTCTCACACATTATTGGCCCCACATATCTCTTCATCGTTCGTATATGAAGCCTCCCTGATAGTTAGGTCGTTGCATTCACCTTCAGGTCTTTGCTCCATCATCTCCTTTTGCCCTCAATTAATCCCTGTCCTTGCACCTTCGTTTTCCCTCAGAAGCACTGCTAGACTGGGGAACTTCCTTGCCGGAGCAGGAGCGGCAGTGGCAGCTAGCTTGCACTTTATCAAGGTGAGTGCTCCATCTCCATCTTAAATTGCTCAACGCTTTTGGAATTAGTCAGACTTCTAGTTTGCAGTTTGTATATGTTCTTTTGAAACTTGTGTTCTAACACTGGAACCCAAGAAAGGATGAAATACGGGTCTATGACCATTTACTTATCCTCTTTCATAGACACAATTAATTTGTTTACCCAGGGTTTTACTACTTCCTGCCATTTCTTAGTTAGTTTAAAGTTCGGAAGGCCTTTGCACACCCTGATTTGTATATGTGTTTGGATGATAATACTGAGAACGAACCTTACAATGTATTTTGTAAGACAATAAGTTTTGGGGAACCAGCACAACCCTCTAGGGGTGGCTTATCTCATTATATATAATGGTTGTGTTACAATATGTACCATATACGTACATAGGTACAGAAGCTATACATAGTCTAACACCCTCCCTCAATCTTAGCCACTTTCTAAAGAACTGAGAATGGTAAGATTGCGCCTACAAGCCTCAAACTGTGGCAGCGGTAAAGGCTTAGTGAAGATGTCTGCAAGTTGATCCTTAGATGAGATAAACTTGATCTGGAGTTGCTTCTGTGATACACGTTCCCGTACAAAGTGATAGTCAACTTCAATGTGTTTCATTCGGGCATGAAATACTGGATTTGCAGAAAGGCATGTAGCACCGATGTTATCACACCAAAGAATAGGAGGCTGTGGTTGAGACAAACCCAACTCCTGAAGCAAAGACTGCACCCAAATAATCTCTGCAGTAGGATTAGCCACAACCTTGTACTCAGCTTCAGTACT